TGGTTGTTTAATGAGTTATTGCTATAAGAATAATTTATTAATACACTATTCCCTGTTATATCTAGTTTCTGTTACCTCCGCATACAATGTACCGACTGTGATCTTCCTGCCAAACTGGCAACACAGCCTGAAAAAATATCCTGTCGCTAGTGTCCCCAACCATAAAAGAACCTCCATTCTTCACAATGTTAATGTATGTTAGAGCATGTATTTGCAAAGTTGAGTTTTTAATTCATGGGTCCAAATATGGAGTGCGTTTGATTGGTTTCATTGTTATGGCCCCTGTTATAGCTTTGTAATGCCAATTTAAAAGATGAATATATATTCTGAATTCATGTCTCATGGCTTATTAATGTTGTACGAAAATTTAGTCATCCATGTGTTTTTTTTCTCACAAAAACTCTTAACTAACTGTTAGTAACTGACTAATGAGTCATGCACAGCAGTAATAACCAGTATTTCAGTGAGAGAACGCTGTCTGCGCTTTGGCAGGCCCTCTGCACACAGAACAAACCCGCTGGTCGAGACGCTGACAGTGTCCATGACGCGTGGCCCGATCGGCTCTCCCGCGGCAGCCAATAACACACCACCACGCGTCAGCTTCGTAACCTCAACGTGCGCACCCTCAACACCAAGGGCCATCTGGTCCGGATGTCCTCGTCGACCGTAAGTCTGACTCTTGAGTTTGCCCGAAACCTTGCAGCATCAAAGACTATGCGCCTTTGAACGACCTCCACTCCAACCCGGGTTTGTTTACATCCTGCCAGCCCCGCAGCTGTGGCCGCCGGCCGGAGGTCTCGCGATGCTTCACCGCGAGACTTGGAAAGTCCACCTGTGCCTGCACCCCTGTCTTCTCCTCCTTCGAGTACTCTGCCTCACTGCTGCCTGGACCTACTCCTACTGTTGTTGCCCCATCTAACCGCCCGCCAAAACTTAATAAAGTACATTTAGATGACCTATTCTCAACCTCTAACACACCTCACATCTATCTCTCCTAACGCAGTCAAACTTGGGGACTTCTACATTCACATGGAAAATAATACAACCCTCACCAAAGACATCTCCTCTGTTTAGATAGATTTGGTTATACAACAACACATTACAATCCACCCCCCCTAAAGGTCACATTGTGACAATAATCTGCCTGCTCCTGGTCTCACTCCCACAGAACTGTAAACCACACACACACCCATACACAGACATAAGCTCATCAACCTCAATATCAACCTCACCCTCTCCAAGACCATTCCTTCCCGAACCATTTCTTCGAAAAAATACTAGGACATCAACACTGCCACCTTCGCCTCAGATATCAATAACCTCCTCACTACTGATCCCAATGACTCCCCCGATTGACCTGTGTCACCCACACAACACTCTTCCAAACCTCCTGAACAATCAATGCACCTCCAAAACTCTACCGACCCTTCTTACACGCTCTCAGCACCCTGGTTCACCACTGCCCTCCGTCATCTCAAATCCAAGTACCGACAAACTTGAACGCTCTTCAATAAAACTGGACACACCATTCACCAACAAATGTACAATAACCACAACATGCATACAAGGACCATCACTCTGCTGCCAAATCCACCACTACACCGAGTTTAATCCACTCCAATCAACAAAACCCAAAACTCTCTTCTCTCTTCTCACCAATATAACCAAACCCCCTGACTCCCTCCCTCACCATAATGCAATCCACTGACTTCTGTAACTCACTCCAAGTCCTTCTTTTACCTCCAACAACTCAGCAAACCACCAACACCATGACCCCCCCATTGAGCTGCGTCCACACGGTGTATGACCCCCAGCCCCCGTACACATCCCCTCATAGCCACATTTCACCAGCTTCATCTTTGCCCTCCGTCCAAGGCATCTCCGCCTTTATCATTTAATCTAAACCTTCAAACTCTCAGCTCGACCCTCTCCCTACCGTTCTGGACAAATCCTGCTCCCCTCAGCCTGCCCCCCTCATCACTAATATCATTCAATCATCTTCTCACTCTGTACTGTCCCTCTCTCATTCAAAACCGCCTCAGTACTCACCCATTCTCAAAAAACCTGGCCTGGAACCAACCAACTTCAACAACCTCGCGTCCGCATCTCAAACCTTCCCATCATCTCCGAATACTTGAAAAATCTGTCGCTGCTCAACCCACAACCACCTCACCAACCAACAACATCTACGACAATTTCAGCTGGTTTTCCGTCCCCTCCACAGCACCGAAACAGCTCTCTAAAAATCACTAACGATCTCCTCATAGCCTCTGACTCCGGTTTACTCTCCATCCTCATCCCTTCTGGACCACACTGCAGCAGGGTGGGTTTGGGGTTGACACCATTCTCATCCACCCACCTGAACAGACTCTCCTCCATCGGCATCACCCACACCCCCCTCCCGCGGTTCACTCCTATCTTTCTGTCGCTCACAGTTCATCTCATCCCTAATCCCACAAATCCCCGCACTTTTCCTGTCTCTGCTGGTGTCCCCAGGGCTCTGTCCTGGGGCCCCTCCTCTTCATCATTCTATATTCTCCCACACGGTCCACATCTCCGCCGTCACAACCTTCCACTTCCAACTGCTACGCGGATGACACGCCAACTCATGACTTGAGGGGAGGGGGGACAGATTTGTTATGGATGGAGATGAGAAGCTGTAGATTTGGAGAGAGTGGAGGGGGCCTATGAGAAGGTAACTTCAATAGTTGATTTAGCTATTGAGTTTGAGAAAGTTGAAGATAAACACAGAATGAATTTCTGTAGACATAGGGTGAGGGTAGGATGGAGGATAAGAGGAAGAATGTGTTTAGCGTGAGAGGTAGAGCTGGGTGTCATCCGCGGTAGCCTGGAAGTGAATGTTTGTTACGGCCTGAGGATTTGACCGAGTGGGAGAATATAGATGATGAAGAGGAGGGGCCCCAGTGACAGACCCAGGGGGACACCAGCAGAGAACAGGAAAAAGGCGGGATTTGTGGGGATTTGGAGATGACTTAACTGTGACGACCCAGAAAGATTAGAATGTTGAACCAGGCGAGGGGGTGTGGGGTGATGCCGTATGGAGGAGAGTCTGTTTCAGGAGGGTGGAGTGAGAAATGGTGTCAAAAGCTGCCAGTGAGGTCCAGAAGGATGAGGAGAGAGCCGTAAACCGGAAGTCAGAGGCTATGAGAGATCGTTAGTGATTTTTAGAAGAAGCTGTTTTCGGTGCTGTGGAGGGACGGAAAACCAGTACTGAAATTGTTCGTAGATGTATTTGGTGGTGAGGAGTTTGTGGAGTTGAGCAGCGACAGATTTCAAGTTTTTTGGAAGATGAAGGAAGGTTTGAGATGGGACGGAGGTGTTGAAGTTGGTTGGACCAGGCCAGGTTATTTGAGAAAAGGGTGAGACCTGAGGCGGTTTTGATGAAGAGGACAGTAACCAGAAGTGAGAGATGAGGTGAATGATATTAGTGGAATGAGGGGGAGCAGCTGAGGGGAGGCAGGATATTGACCAGAACGTAGGGAGAGGGACCGAGCTGAAGGTAGAAGGTTTGGATTTAATATAATGTCGGAGATGGCTTGGACGGCGGGCAAGAAGAAGCTGGGAATGTGGCTATGAGGGGATGGTAGGGGCTGGGGGGGTTCCACTCCATAGACTGCAGCTCCATGTGGGGTCAGTGTTGGTTGAATGTCAGAGATCTTGGAGGTAAAGAAGGACATGAGTGAGTTTACAGAAGTCAGTGGATTGCATATGTGAGGAGTGAGTCAGGGGTTTTGGTTATATTGGGGTGTAGAAGAGAGAAGAGAGTTTTGGAGTTTTGATGATGGAGTGGATTAAACCGAGTAGAAGGAGGAATTTGGCAGCAGATGATATGGTCCTTGTATAGCAACGATGTGGTTATTGTACTTTTTTTGTAATGTGAGTCCAGTTTTATTAATAAGCCGATGCAAGTTGTACGTCCTATGGGATTTGAGTCTGACGAGGGTCATGTGGTGAACCCATGGTGCTGAGAGCGTGAAAGAGACGGGTCGGGTTTTTTGAGGAGGAGCATGATGTTCAGAAGGTTATGGAGAGAAGTGTTGTATAGGTAGACCTAGGTCATCGGGGGAAGTCATTGGGAATCATTAGTGGGGATGTTCTTGATATTCTGATGCGAAGGTGGCAGTGTTTAAGTCCAGAATTTTACGGAAAGAAATGTTCGTACTGAAGGAGGGTCTTGGAGATGGTGAGGTTGAATATATGAATGTGATTAGCTAAGGTCTGTGTAAGTGATGTTGTGAGGGTTTACATTCAGTGGGAGTGAGACGCATAGCAGCAGTAAAGTCCACAATGTTACCTTAAGTGTTGGTGATGGTAAATGAATGTTTTGTGTAAACAAAACTACTACTAAACAGGAAGGAGAAGTCTTTAGGTGTAGAGGGTTGCAATTGATTGTCCCATGTGAATGTGAAGTCCCCAATTAAGACTGAGCGTTATTAGAGTTATGATGAGAAGTGTGTTATAAGGAGAGAAAAGACATCTAAAAAGTCCTTAAAATTTTTGGCGGGCCCGGTAGATGGTGGCAAGAACAACCGTAGGATAAGGTCCAGGCAGCAGTTGAGGCAAGAGTACCGAATGGGAGGAGAAGACAGGGGCAGCAGGCACATTAGAGAACTTTCCAATTCTCCGCGTGAGCATCGCGAGACCTCCGCCCCGGCGGCCACCGCATGCGGGCTTGGCAGATGTAAACAAACCCCGTGGAGGTGGAGATCGTTTCAATCCGGCAATAGTCATTTGCCCAGCTGCAGGTTTCTGTCAACACACAAGAAGTCCAGCATACCGGTCGACTAGGACAATCCCGGAACCAGATGGCCCTTGGTGTTGAGGGAGCGCAATGACGATAGAGAGACCGAAGCTGACGGTGGTGAGCTGTTCTTGCAATTTATAAACAATGAATTCAGTAGATATCACAACTATAATCACAGCAGTAGCATAACTGCGCTAACGCTGAACCTGGCAGAACTGCGCCGGGGAAAACACCTTCAGCGCTGCAACGCCTCCCTCTGGTGGCCGCTGCGGATACTGCAATCATGGCGGCGCTGGTGCTGATGCTGAGCGGGATGCAGGCTCACGCTCACTGGGAGGATGTGAGCTTTGTATTGGCTGCTGCTCCGTCGTCGTTTGGCGCAGTCTCTGTGGCGCAATGGAATAGCGCGCTGGACTTCTAATCCAGAGGCTCCGGGTTCGAGTCCCGGCAGAGATGAGTCACTCTGTGTGCCACACGGCAGACCTGCGGAACATTTTTGCATCGTTTTGTTGGTTTTTGTGTAAAATAACGTTAGAAAAGACGAGGAGAAGGATGTGATACATTTATATAAACAGGACCTCAGAGGAACCTGGTCTTATTATGATCACATTCTGTACAAGGATGGACCTTTGTGAGCTGTTATGAGATATTATCAGATTTATAAGCATCTTAATTTATTATCATTTTGTTTTTATGTTTTGAAATAACATTGAGACAGACATGGAGAAGAGGAGAAGGTGTGATACATTTATATAAACAGGACATCATTGTATAGCAAGAGGAAGCTGGTCTTATTATTATTATTATATTCTGTACAATTGTCTGTGAAACTGTTGTGAGATGTCACCACAATATAAGCATCTTCACTATCATTTTGTTGTTTTGTTTTGACACAACATTAGAACAGACGCAGACAAGAGGAGAAGGATGTGATGCATAGATTTTAGTGCCTTTAGTTGTATTTGTGTTGTATTAGTTGTGTATCTCCATTAGCTGTTCAACGTAGCTATTCATAGAGACAAGCAAAGTGCATTAACAAAAATACATGACAACAAATATACAAAAATAAAAACAAAACAATGATACAGATGGTTGTTGAATAAATCCATGAGAAAAAGGTGAAATTAAACTCTTACTGGGCAAAGATGCAAAATAAAACAGGACAAAAAAAAACATTGACAAATGGCAGGAATACGGCAAGAAAACAAGAATCAGTCCAGGAGCAGGGTCTTTAAACTATTTGGCTCCACTCCACACTTCACACTGTCCCATGATGCACCTGGGCTTTAAGTGCCTGGCGTCAAAATCCTGGGAAAATTATCAAAAAACAATACATTCTAGTCTAATAGCAATAACAAAACAAAATTGGCAAAACTGTTTAGGCTCCTACAGTATACACAATAAAGCAGGACATTATTATGTTTCGTGATAGAGCAGGTCCTTTCTCCCTGCTGCTGTCAGACTGTACAACGAGAATGTATAACAAGAACTGCTGAGTCTGTACAAGTGTCACTGATTATAATTCACTAGTCACTTTGTCTGTTATTATTATTACTGATGTTTATTCTGCTCATATTCTCCGCTGCTGAAGAACAAAACACAGATCTGTAAATACTCCTGAACCACGTGACATTATAGCCCCAGAGTTTATTTTATTCTTTATCTTAGTTTAATTCTATTGTCTATTATCTTAAAGAATAGACTGTTTGATGTGTGCGTCTGAGTCTTATTTCCTTCTTTCTCTGCTGTAATGAGCGACGATGACACTGACATTTCTCCTCTGTGAGACGAGTTAAGGAATATATCTGATCTGATCTTATGTAGCTGTTTTTACTATTGTCCTTTTCTGTAGAGCGATGGAGCCGCGTGAAACTGTGGAGAGATAATATCACAATATAAGCATCTTCTCTGCAGAGTCCTGTGTATGAGAAATGGTCAAATCCACACAGACAAAGCAACTATAATGGCCTTTTAGTGTTCATTTGAATGTGATGTTTTAGTTTCTTACTTTGGGACTTGCTGCTGTTGTGAAAGTAGAAGGTTCAAATGTGAAAATGTGGAAACTTTGCTAAATCCTATCATTCCAATCAAATCCCAGTTACTATTTTTTCACACAATAAATCTGTGAATGAAGTCTGGGATTATAAAGTCATCACAAACTATATATGTGGTAGAAATAGTCTAATTTCAGTCTGTATTGTCGTCTTTCCCAGCGCTGTTGATAAATAATACAGGTCAAAATCCACATGTTTTTATATATTTGTTTCATACTTGTAGATTCATGGGTGGTCTATAATCAAAAGAGTTTCTCAATAGTTATCAACAAGAGAAACATAGATTATTTTCTGTTTGAGCATCATCAGGAGCAGGAGGTCTGCGTCCCGTGATGTGGCTGCAGTTCTGTCCGTGTCCACTAGAGGGCGACGTCTCCTAACTGTGAGCAGCGGGCCACATTCCTTCACTGTACGGACTGAGAGAGGATGCAGACCACTTCATTCATAAGAACAAGAGTTGAGTCAAATAATATTGTAAGTAGGAAGTATAGCCGATAAAATAAACGACAGATTTTGAGTTAAAAATATATTTTTTAAAAGCAATTATGTGCAATATTGGTCAGTAAGGACATGTTCTACAGATAGAATACTTACATTTGTAAACATGTTTATTGATACGTAGTTTTTTAATAATTATGGACATACAATCCAAATCCATGTTGACTGTGTGTAAAAATACAAAAGAACTCCCTCAAAGACTATCACTGAGTAAAATGTATTTATGTATAGCCCTCAATCAAAACAGGACTTGACGACTTTACAAAGTTGTGAATTCCTCAACAACAGATCAAAAAATCAACCAGACTGAAAACAGTTACGTAAAAAACTAAGAGACTCAGAAACATGATCTGAACTGAGGGACACATCTTTACGCACAAAGAAGCAGGAGATAAAGTGCAGAGTGAAGACAAAGTGGAGCTCCGGGGGCGCAGTTTGGTTCAGTTTTGTCCGGGGGTCGTTGCCCTGATCTGGGGGAGAAGGGAAAAGGCGGGTCTGCGTGTGTTTGCGTCAGAGGAGCGAGAGAGGAATGCTCCGCTGGACACAGGAGCGTGCGTGAAGCTGGACGCACGCAGAGGAAGTGCGTCCTGCGCCTGCGTCCTGCGTCTGCGTCTGCACAGCTCAGAGCCATATAGGAGGATCATAGAAGTATGTAATATAAGGGCGTAACAGGAGCACCCGCATTGGTAATGGATTGGTAGGATCATAATACACTCTCTGGCCTTTCTGCACGGCTGGACAAGTCTTTATGATGCTTAAGTCAGAGATTTTATTTAGTTTTAGAGTTATAGTTCACAGGTTATAGGTTTACATTAAAAGTGCACTGAGCGACAGCGCCCGGGGCTCTATCCCATGGAGGCTGAAGGTTGTCTATCACTGTTGGGAGAGAATACAAACGAAGAGGCCCCTGAGCTAAACCAGCACACATTCACTCTGTGTTTGGGTGTTAGTGTTAAATGTGATAACAAGATTTTAAAAATGTGTTTAAAATAATCCACCATAATTTTCCATCCGCTGAGACTCAGGTCGACTTGGTTTTGACCCAAACTGAAGGATCCAGAAACATCTATTGTGTCCTGCTCCAAATCAAAACAATCTGGGACAATATCCACAATTATTTCATATAAAAATGCAATCCAAGTTCTTCTTAAGAGTATTTTCTCAGAGGACTTGAACGCAATGATGAAAAACACAAACGGGGCAGAGACCAATGTCCAAATGTGGATTTAAAAACACACCAAAGATGATTCTCGGATTTCAAAGTCTGTAAATCTCACTAGAGACAAAAAGTGACGATTGTAAAAAGTTTCATAATTATCGGTAAACGTCACATCCACAAAAACAAATTGGAAAAAACGTCCAAATGAAACATATTTTATAAAACTGAGAAAAAAAATCTGAAAACATCTGTCTCTCTGAAGACACTGGGCCTTTTATATGTTAATAATGATAATAATGATAATAATGATAATAATGATAATAATAATAATAATAATAACAATAATAACAATAATGTTAATAATGATAATAATAATGATAATAACAATAATAATAATGATAATAATAATAATGATAATAATAATAACAATAATGATAATAATGATAATAATAATAATGATAATAATAATAATAATAATAATAATAATAATGATGATAATTAATAATAATAATAATAATAATCATAATAATAATAACAATAATAACAATAATGATAATAATAATAATAACAACAATAACAATAATGATGATAATAATAATAATAACAATAATGTAAATAATAATAATTATAATAATAAATGACTGCTGTCGTTGTGTCCTTGGGCAAGACACTTAACCCCACATTGCCTGAAGCCCCCCGCTGAAAGATCAAGGCTGTTTCACAATTGACGGAGCAGCCATCTTCCTGTGGACTCACCCCCTGCAGAGGATCAGCGAGGGACTGGTGCTATGAGCGTTGGGTCGCAGCTCTCATTGCCACCCCCCCCGACCCAGAAATGGACAAAGGGGTTGAAAATGAAATGAAATGAAATAATAATAATAATAACAATAATGATAATAATGATAATAATGATAATAATAATAATAATAATGATAATAATGATAATAATAATGATAATAATGATAATAATAATGATAATAATGATGATAATAATAATAATAATGATAATAATAATGATAATAATGATGATAATAATAATGATAATAATGATAATAATAATAATAATAATAATAATAATAATAATAACAATAATGATAATAATGATAATAATGATAATAATAATAATAATAATGATAATAATGATAATAATAATGATAATAATGATGATAATAATAATAATGATAATGCCAGTTTCTCCAGTGTGAGATCAATATTCAATCCTATCCTATAAATGAGAACAATATTAAATGTCAGTTTGTACTTTTCCAATTTTTTGAAGCCTGGCCTTGTTTGGACCCGTCTTTAGGAGAGTTTGTTTTCATTTCTATTTTGAATAAATGAATAAAAACACTTTTTTATTTTTATTTATTTATAGAATCAATCAAACAGGCTCACATATTCAGTACAATTTCAAGCTTATTCACAAACAAAAGGTATATAAAAAAGAAAGAAAGAAAGAACATAGAAAGCCACAGTATACTCAGTCACAATATTCTCATTTAACCAAAATACTTTAAATTTCACGGCCTCAAAGAATTCCTATAAGATTGACAATTGGCTCCGAAATATAATAAACAAGGCTTTTGAATTACTACATTTGCATTTGGGAATGAAAATACAGCCATAGTAATACAGTTGTTAATTATAAATTCTTTGTTTTTGTCTTCCCTCCAAATGTTATGTCATGATTATTGAAGTCAATAAAAACTAAAGTATTGTTGAGACCAGGCACAGAAACTGTTCCAAAATATTTATGTGTGAAATTTTTTTTGTTTGTCTGTTTCAATATTGGTTTACCAAAAAAAACACACCTCTCTCTGGTCTCCCTATAGTCTCTCTCTGGTCTCTCGTCTTTTTCTAGTCTCTGGTCTCTCTTTGGTCTCTGGTCTCTCTGTGGTCTCTCTCTAGTCTCTAAGTCTCTGGTCTCTCTCTGGTCTCGCTCTGATCTCTCTCTGGTCTCTCTCTTGTCTCTCTCTGGTCTCACTCTGGTCTCTCTCTGATCTCTCTCTGGTCTCTCTCTTGTCTCTCTCTGGTCTCACTCTGGTCTCTCTCTGGTCTCACTCTGGTGTCTCTATGGTCTCTCTCTGGTCTCTCACTGGTCTCTCTCTGGTATCTTTCTGGTCTCTCTCTCTGGTCTCACTCTGGTCTCTCTCTGATCTCTCTCTGGTCTCTCTCTGGTCTCACTCTGGTCTCTCTCTGGTCTCACTCTGGTATCTCTCTGATCTCTCTCTGGTCTCTCTCTGGTCTCTCTCTGGTCTCACTCTGGTCTCTCTCTGGTCTCACTCTGGTATCTCTCTGATCTCTCTCTGGTCTCTCTCTGGTCTCACTCTGGTCTCTCTCTGGTCTCTCTCTGGTCTGTCTCTGGTCTCTCTCTGGCCTCTCTCTGGTCTCTCTCTCTGGTCTCTCACTGGTCTCTCTGCAAAAAACACACACACACACACACACATATTTTCATCAATATTGAATTTGGAATAACAAAATAAAAAAAAAACACATGAATTTATGTATTTATTGCTTTTATTTTGAAAGCGCCAGGCGGACGTCACTCTTCCACGTCACACGTAACTTTCCAGCCTCCTGCGCGTCTCTTCTCCCGGAGCAAAGCCATCGCACAGTCGCTGCTGAGCCGTGGAAGAGCGGAGCAGACCCGGGAGCAGAGAGACACCCCGAAAACACTCAAATACACCCCAAAGAAATGCTCCTACCACCCCGCAGGGAATGAACCACGGACCCCCCCCGGACACGCACGGACGCACGCACGGACGCGGACTCTCTGGACCTGGGACTATACATCCACAGTCATTTCTAATCTCTCTCTCTCCGTGCGGGGTTTGATGCTGTCTGCACGGTTTGAGGCAATCATAACGGACTTCTGGGTCGGCTGAACCATGCTGAGGCTGCTGCTCCTGACCCTGCTAAGTTTACGCACAGGTAAGGAAGCAAATCTCCTTATTTTTGGGGTGCATTTCTACGTCGCTTTCTCTGTGAGGTTATTTTTTTGTTGCGGTTTTGTCAGTCACCTCTGCAGCGCATGGACAGGCAGGGATGGATGCTTGTACAGGTGTGCTAAAGTGGGAGGGCTGGATTTGCTAATCTGGCAAGGACTATACCCACATAGTCCCTATTACAGTCTGACAGCATCATTATATCAGTATATGTACGCATTGCAAAGGTAATTATGGCGACAGTGGATGCAACTTGGTCCAATTTCCAGCACACGTATAAGCCCTCTGTATATGACAACCATTTTATTCACCTCTGCTCTGCCTCTCTCACACATCTCCCCATAAAACACGCTCTCTACAGGCTTCCACATTCACAATTTTTTTTTTTCTGGTAAGTACATGCCCTCTCCCCTTCTTTCTATCTCTATGTTCCAATCCCCTTTGCAGCCTTCTCCCTGTACCTGTGCTCTGCACGGGTGCCATCAGGTAGGAATGGAGTTGCTAGGAGACTGATGTGGAGTAGTAGGCTATAGTAACAGGAAAGAGGTGCATATGCCCTTTGCTGTTTCCAAAAAAAGGAACACAGTGGTACAGCCTGTGTGTGTGTGTGTGTGTGTGTCTTTGTGAGCTATATACAGTGCGTTGCATTGTCCCTGCTGTGTTACCGTCCCTGCATCTCCATCATAGGTAGGGTAAGGGGAGGTGGTGCTGGAAAAGGAGATGGAAGGTAGAGACCAAGGAGGTGGGGGAGATGATGTCACCGTGTCTGCTGTGCTCAGGGCTTTGTGTCCATCCCTGGGTGAACGTCTGAGCCTTACACCTAAACGTGGACTGGTATAGGTGACGACAGGAGCTAAAAAGGTGTCATCGATTGCTGTAAGTGCCGTTGTAGCGATGGCAAGGGTGTATAAACGCTGTACGGCTGTCGCTATAGTCGTCTCGGTTTGATGTGTTTGCAGAGAATTGTTCATAAAGGCACAAGAAATCAGCGGGTCGCAACCTTTTTTGTCTATCCACAAGAGCTCAGACAAAGAAAAAGACATAAAATGACTCTTACACTGTATTATTACTGTTGAATAATCTTTTTACATTGGTACATATCATTATGAACAAAATATTTATAGCTTTCTGATCCCTCTCTATTCTCTGGTCTCTCTCTAGACAATGGTATCTTTCTGGTCTCTCTCTAGTAGTCTCTCACTAGTCTCTGGTTTTTCTCAGCATGGTCTCTCTCCGGTGTCTCTTTAGTCTCTCTTTGGTTTTTCTCTGGTCTCTCTCTGGTCTGTCTGTAGTCTCTGGTCTCTCTCTGGTTAGGGTTAGGGTCTCTCTCTGGTCTCTCTCTGGTCTGACTCTGGTCTGTCTCTGGTCTCCCTCTCTGGTCTCTTTCTGGTCTCTCTGGTCTCTCTCTGGACTCTCCCTGGTCTATCTCAGGTCTCTCCCTGGTCTCTCCCTGGTCTCTCTCTGGTCTCTCTCTGGTTTCTGTCTCTGGTCTCTCCCTGGTCTCTGTCTGGTCTCTGTCTCTGGTCTGTCTCTGGTCTGTCTCTGGTCTCTCTCTGGTCTCTCCCTGGTCTCTCCCTGGTCTCTCTCTGGTCTCTCTCTGGTCTCTTTCTGGTCTCTCTCTGTCTCTGGTCTCTCCCTGGTCTCTCTCTGGTCTCTTTCTGGTCTCTCTCTGTCCCTGGTCTCTCTCTGGTCTCTCTCTGGTCTCTCTCTCTCTCTGGTCTCTCTCTGGTCTCTCTCTGGTCTCTGTCTGGTCTCTCTCTGGTCTCTCCCTGGTCTCTGTCTGGTCTCTCTCTGGTCTCTAGTCTCTCTCCTCGGTCCACACGCCTGGCACATGTTATAATGCAGATGTACGCGTGTAGCATGACAAAAACACCCCCCCTAAACTCTCCTTTTGTCTCCGCGTCCACAGCGCTGCCGGGCTTTTCCCTGTGAGGTTTACCATATCTTTCCCGGCGTTTCCAACAACACCGTCCAAAACCCACACTGAGCCAGATGCATTTATTTTTTTGTATTTTTTAACGAGCATCTCTCTTATCTTTTCATTAGACGGGGAAAACATTATTACACGCTCTGCAATTTGGCACATGTAATTGCCTGGCAGGCTTAATGACTGGATGGGTGTTAGCGCAGGAGCTAAATGAATAGGATTCTGGGATACGGATGCGAGAGGATGAGTGTCGGCACCGGGAGAAAAAAGTAAAACGTGACAAAACCAGTTCTCGCCAGAAGTGAGATGACGAAAGGGAGACATGGTGTTTTAAAAGAGCAATTTGCCAAGGGTTTGGTGAGGCTGTAGATCCAGGACTGATGCTGTAGATACAGGACTGAGGCTGTAGATCCAGGACTGAGGCTGTAGATCCAGGACTGAGGCTGTAGATCCAGGACTGAGGCTGTAGACCCAGGACGGAGGCTGTAGATCCAGGACTGAGGCTGTAGATACAGGACTGATGCTGTAGATCCAGGACTGAGGCTGTAGATCCAGGGCTGAGGCTGTAGATCCAGGACTGAGGCTGTAGATCCAGGTCTGAGGCTGTAGATCCAGGACTGAGGCTGTAGATCCAGGTCTGAGGCTGTAGATCCAGGACTGAGGCTGTAGATCCAGGACTGAGGCTGTAGATCCAGGACTGAGGCTGTAGATCCATGTCTGAGGCTGTAGATCCAGGACTGAGGCTGTAGATCCAGGTCTGAGGCTGTAGATCCAGGACTGAGGCTGTAGATCCAGGACTGAGGCTGTAGATCCAGGACTGAGGCTGTAGATCCAGGTCTGAGGCTGTAGACCCAGGACTGAGGCTGTAGATCCAGGACTGAGGCTGTAGACCCAGGACGGAGGCTGTAGATCCAGGACTGAGGCTGTAGATCCAGGACTGAGGCTGTAGACCCAGGACTGAGGCTGTAGACCCAGGACTGAGGCTGTAGACCCAGGACTGAGGCTGTAGATCCAGGACTGAGGCTGTAGATCCAGAAAAACTTCTATCCTGTTTGTTTTTTTTTTTTCTTTATCCTGTGCAATACAAATAAACTTGCCTTTACCAAAAACCTATTTATTACAATTGTATAACTTTGACGCCGGGTTGAGCTTGTTCTGGAGTCACTCTATTTTCAATGAATCACTGAAAATGCGTCTACAAATCTCAAATCTTTGCCGTTGTTTCAATCTCTCGCCATGACATCATCCTCTGAGCCCGGCCATTTAGAAAAAACAGAAAAACCACGGAGCAAATTGTGTTCCGAACCCCGACTCTAAACGCAGATTTTGAGATGGACGGAGAAAGGCGGGGGGGAATCCTCACATTTATTCAGGGTTTTAACTCCGCTAATCCCTCCCATGGCTACGCTGCTATTAATAATAAATACATATGCATAATCGATCAGTTCAAAGCGCTTTTGGTTCTTAGTGTGAGACGTCGGGTCCAGAGGGAAGCCATGTGTTTAGGGGTCGCGTTTTTCATCCGTCCGTTTGTACAAGCTTTAATAGACAGTGCCCCCCCCCCCCTGTTTGTCCTCACCCCCCTCCCACTGCCCACTGCCCTCCCCCAAATCACAACTTTCTCTTTTAACATAAGCTCCGGACTCAGTGTATTCAACAAAAGCAGGGGTTCAGGAGTTAAACCTGCATGTTACAGGTTAAAGTAGTATTTTTTTTCAAATTCCAGCCATTGTTCCGCAGAACGTGATGAAAAATTGTCATATTTGGTTCAGTGTATCTTAATACGTGCACTTTTTGGCTGCTTTAAAACAAGATTTGCAAATGTGTCAAAGCAAAATGACCTTGTTTTAAAAGATTCAAGGAATGTCTCCGTCGGAATGAGACAAAAAGTGACTAAATGGCTTTGTCCCGTGGGTGAATATTGGTGAATCAGAATGTTTTCAAATTAAGATAAAAACCACTAGATTCAAGCAGTTGTTAAGTCATATTTTATCATTTTTTTGTATTGTGTTGTGTTGAGTTGTGTAGTCTCCACCGCTGTGATGTGTGCTTTGTTTGACATTTTGGCTCAAACTAAAACAAAATAATAGTCCCAAAAGGCTTCTGTAATTGCATTATCTCTTTTATTTTATTTATTTATTTATTTATTTTATTTTATTTTATTTATTTTATTTTCCATTGTCCGAATAAAGACTCTTTCATTCATAATCACGACTGAGATTAGTTGAAATTGCAACTTTTTGCCACAGACCTATTGTGTGTGAGTTCCTGCTTTTCTTTTGTCTGCAAACGTGAATTTAAAAACTTTTTGGTCACGTTTTTTAAAGCAATTTTCCCTTCTCATTTACACATGCACTTTTGAGTCATTTCTATCGCGCGAAATCCACAGCGTTCTTGCTTCGTCTCTCCGATTTTCTTACACTATTTTTCTTATTCTTTTCCCCAAAGTCACAATCACATATTTCCCGCCTTATTATTCATCGCTTCAGACAGTTTTCTGCCTTACGGGGGATTTACACAGTAGGCGTAAACAGCGCGTACGCGTTTACTGCGCGCTCTCTGCGCGTAACATTTTTTTGGAGTATCTACACTGACCGTGCGCGCAGGTCCGCGGCTTCTGATGCTCTCCCTGTGTAGTCTATGGAGCAGTGTAGAGGACAGTACGAGCCAGAGGACTGATGTAGAGCAACACAAATCACATGCATGTGTTTGTCTTCATGGTCTCTGTGCGCTGGTTTGTCCAGACGCGAGACTTTATGAAGGAAAAAAAACGATGTCCAGAATCACTGTAAAACCTGCTGCTCCTCCTGCTGATGTTTAGACACAAGTGCAGTGTGCGTGCAGATGTGATCTAAAGCCAAGGACCGCTAGAAAAATAAAGTTTTACATGAGATTTCAATGGGACACGCGTTGGTGCGCGCACAAAATTAGAAATCCATCCTAAATTAGAGCGCAGCTTCGCGTCACATGTCCGTCATACGCGCGTATAACGCTAGAAGTGTAAATATCATCATAGGTTAACATGGAAAAAAGTTACGCGCGTCTGCTGCGCGTATAAC